ACAAAGATCAAGGCCGCGCAAAACAACATGCCCTTTGAGGGACCTGGTAGAGGGTTGGTCAATCCCAACATTCATTCTGACCCCAGTAAAAGCAAAGTTGCATATCAATCTGTCACAAACCATTCATACAAATAATTTTACTTGCAAAAGATCTAAAACTTCAGAGGAAAAAAAGCACTCGAGGACACCATGTCACCATACAACTAAAGCTTCAGTGTTTTAAAATCTCCAAGAAAAAAAAACTAAAAGTTTCAATCTGATACCCTTTTTTTTAATTGGAAGAACAATTTCTCAACATCTGAATGTTTTCTGGGAATCGAGTGAAAGAGACATCAGTTCACAGATTGTGATTATCTGCTTCATAATGCATGGTGTGCTTGACTAGGTGAACCAAAAATTTATAAAACAACTGAGATATCAAATCATTTGTCTACCTGATGGTAAATTACCACAGCTCATTGATCTTGCATACATTTCGTCTTCATGAATTTGCTCCCGCTTTCCCTGAGCTTCTTGTCCTGCAGCTTCTCCAAAATAACCATCAAAGTCCTTCTCTGGTATGACAGTTTCCAATGGTACAAATAATGCAAAATCCCTCTTACAAACAAACTTTTGAGAGCCACGTCTTTTACCACAACCAAATCCCAATCTTTCATCCTAAATAAAAATGTGACAGACGGACACAACAACTTTTAAAACACTAATTCGCCAATTACAGTGTAGATGTTTTTCTTACAACCAGTTTAAACTCTATTACCCAGCTTGTATATGCACTTTTAGTTTCAGTAGGTTCGCTTAAAAAAATCTGCAATAAGAAAACAAAACAAAATCGGACCTAATTTTAAAGAAGTAACGCTCGAATTATATTCCAATCAAAACCAGCTACGTCCCAATCAGTTTCTTTTAAATTATGCCTTCGGAACGTAAAATGAAAATTTTTAATTCTTTGTCAACTCTGCTCATCATTGATACATGAGCTGACGAAGAACGTTGCAGTTACCAGTTTCCCTCTGCAGTTTAATGCTGGACAACCTAACCACAGGCAGATCACCCAACAGGTCGACCACGTGGTAGGGAAAACTTCTTACAGGAGTGAAAGATAACATTTATAGCATTTTTGTCCAAAAACCTCATTTAAAGTGAAACGAAATGTTAATGCACTTAATTGTTTGCCTCGAATTGACTAATCAGAGTTTGGTAGTTCTGGGCTAACAACGCTATACTTACGTGTACCAACATTTCGTTTCATATTATTAAAGCTTTTTAGACAAAGATACGGTGTTCGGTTTAATATTTCAGTCCTTTACGCATTCCTTTAAATTCAAAAAGTTTTTCCTTCCTGTCGCACCAATAAGTGGTCTGCCTGTGGCCTAAACCCGTGACTTCTATCGCAGATGAAGGTAGAACACCTCCTTTGTTTTTAAATTTAAAATAACAATTTTTCTCTTCCTCTCCCCCTTTGTATTCTTTTTTTATTCACGCACGGCGCGCATGATTTTACAAATGAGCCAATCAAGTCAAAGAACTCTAACCTTGACATTGGAAAATTGACTAGAACATTTTTCACGTACTTTTTTACTTTTTGCTCTTCTGGCGAAGGTTGAAAAGATCAGCAAGTTATATTTACTTTCTTCGTCGACTGCGATAAGAAATGACTGTTTCTGCGCTTTTAAAAGTTCTCTACGAATTACATCTTGTGCTTAAACGTTGTTTTCTTTCTATAATTACATGTTTACCTATCAGTATGGAATTAGTTTTCTCTAATGAAAAGCTTCCAGTAAACAACCTAAATTTTATGACATAATCCTCCCCCACATGAAATATATTAGTCAATTTTCCACGCACTTCTCACGTGCTTAGATGTTTTCTACCAATCAAATTCGCTTTCCACCACCTTAGACTTCACCCTGTAATGTCTTAATTTTTTGTAAACTACCCGCCAATACTTTATCACGTATTCCACACGCACTAGGCAAAGTCCAGAAAGGCAACAACCAAATGAGGAACGTTGTTATGCCTACGTGAAAACCTTTGAAATATGATACAATTCTCTTCGTCTATTGTATTTTCACTTGTTTGAAGAACGGAGGCCACAAAATATCTCTGGTTTGAGGCTATTGGAGATAAAATATAGTTTTGGTTTGCTTCCCACGGCAAAATTATGTGAAAAAATATTTTTAGGCAACTAGCTGTAACCAAATAATGTTGATTTGTCTCTCACGAAGGAACAGCACTAAGCCTTGTCTTAGCTTTCCAGCTGGCCACAATGTTTGGTTTCGTCACTAAACGTGGAAGAGGGCGTGTTGCATGACGAGACCAAACAACGACTGTAGAGGAGAGTACGGGAGGCGTGGCACCAATACAATTTATTTTTGCTTACAATTATTCAGATATAAACGGCAATAGACCGTAATATACGTATGTCTGAGTTTATTTCATATATTTTTTGAACGATATTTTTCATTGAAATCTTTTGAAGGTGAAAGCTGTTTTTCTTTTGCAAAAATGCAAACGTCAGTTACTCAATGTTACTCGACCCATCCGAAACCTACACCCTACACCCTACACCTATCAATTATTTCTTTTCTTTCTTTCATTTCCTCTTTGCAGAAACTATAGACCCATTTTCACGCGCGAAAATGCAACGGGAAAACGAAACTAATCATTCAGTTTAATCTCCTCTGATAGCTGGATAACACTTTATTAAATACAAAGCTTAATCACATTTGGTTAAACAAGCATGTTCATGAACTTACCAGTTCTAATCCTACAATTGTACGAAAATTTCTAGTTGAATCCTCCTCCTCACCAATATATCGCACAGTTCCCCTGGCTGGACTATCCTCAATAAATGTCACAACTCTTTCACCAGTCTTAAGCACTCCATCAATTCCTTGAAATTGCCTTTGCTCGTGTTTTCCCTTCCAAAATGACGATATAGCATCCTGAAGACTTGATTTAAGTTCAGCCTGAATGTTTTCGTCTTGTTCTGCAATTTTCGAAGATTTCAAGTCATCTTCATTTTCTCTAGGTGTCAATCTGTCCAGTCCAACAAAAACCCCACAGTCTAGCCCGCAGACAAAGTATCGCTTGTTGCCAAATGTTCCATCGCATGTTCCTGACCCTGGATGTTTCTAGATATGTTAAACCACAGATCATAATCATTAATTTGAAGATTACTGTCATCATCAACTATCATCATGACTTTCATCAGTATCATCATCATCATCACCAAGGGTGCCATCGCAATCAATAAAAATGTTATCCCATACACACTGTTCAGCATCCAGTGTGTAACATACATGTACACCATACTAAGCAGGATTTTAAAATCTTAACAGAAAGCATGACATTATTCTTAAATAGAGATGACATATTGCACATGACCGTTTGAAGGGCAAGTTTTACTATTACATACTATTGAATGAATCATTTAAATCTCCCCTTCAGTCTAAGGGTCTCCTAGGAAGATAGACATTGAGGACATTGAAATACTCGGGAGATGTAAAAGCAAGTTTAACTCAGTATTACGTAGTACCTTAGTTGTGTTGCTATCTGTAAAAAATGTACATAATGTAAATTGTTACAGCCAGCAACACGACTTAACTAGTGCATAAGTACTTACAATGAGTTCAACTCCAAACCAAGTTCCCAGATTGGGCGGTAATACACCTTTATACCAAACAGTACCAGGCAAAATCTGTGTGATTCCTTCCACTTCAACCCAAACATCACTTCCAATTGACAATTGTTGGCCAAATGCCATATGTTTCCTATCTATATATGCTTTGTATCTTCCTTCAGGTGAAGTAATTGCTAAAAGCAAGTTGGTTTCTTCCTCAGATAGTCGAGCCATATCCTTCATTGGACACTCAAGACGTAATGATTTACATTCAATTCCAACAAGAGCTACTTTAGTTAAGTCTGCAGGCTGTTCAGCCTCTGGAAGAGCTTCTGATAACTCACCTCGTAAAACACTGATTTGTTTAGGCTTTGTCGTAAAGCCCAGTGTCCACATGTTTTTTTCAACTACATGTCCGAAACAATCCCTTAGAATAATAAAGTTCATACTGGGTACTTCCATTTTGTCTTTTTTCCCAATTTTTGAAGATTTCAAGTCATATTCATCTTCTCTAGGTGTCAATTTGTCCAGTCCAACAAAAACCCCAGAGTCTGGCTCACAGGTAAAGTATCGCTTGTTTCTAAATGTTCCATCGCACGTTCCTGACCCTGGATGTTTCTAGATATGTTAAACCACATATCATAATCATTATTATTGAAGATTATTGTCATCATTAACCATCATCATGACTTTCATCATTATCATCATCATTATCATTCACATGGGTGCCATTGTCATCAATGAAAATTTTATCCCCTACTGACTGTTCAGTATCCAGAGTGCAACATACATGTACACCATACCATCAAGAAAGTAGCATTTTAAAATCTTAACAGTAAACATGACATATTCTTAAATAGAGATGACACCTTGCACATAACTGTTTGAAAGGCAAGTTTTACAATTACATATTGTTTGTGAACTTTACTAGTGAATTCATGACAGTTATGAAGTAGAAAAAAAATCCAAGTTGTGGGCAAAAAATAGCTCATTGAATTCTTGAGATGCTCATTCTAAATAATAGTCAGTTTCTTTCCACTAGATCTTACTACTATGAATCTAAGAATTTCCTTTCAACTACATGTAGCTGCTCCTTGCTGCTAATCAATATACAAAACTTCATAGTGCAGTGATAATAAGATACTTGGGTTTGATGGAGAAAATTGTCTTTGCCTTAAAATTTAACACTCACTTGTTTCAATCAAAACACTTGTCATTTTGAAACTTAGAGAAATTATTGTTCAAACTGGGGTGATAGTTGTTTTAGTAGATGCAAATTGTTTGCAATTGTATGTCACCCTCCTCTTTTAAAACAAGAGGAGATTTTAACTGAATAGATGCCAAAACAGTTCAAACAACTGTTGGAACTTTTTCAACAGTCACTTAAGCTACTTGAGAAGGTACGCAGGGTGTGAAATTAATTTTTTTTTCTGATAGCCACTTGGCTCCTGAATTCTTCAAAGTGGTGGCCAATTCAAAAAAGTTGGTTGCCATTTTGAACGACAAACAAAACCTTTTTTTTACGCTGTCATCGTTCTAGAAATTAAGTTAGGGAAAAGATCTTTAACGTGCTACAAAGTGGACACTAGGATGGATGATATGCAATGTTTAAGCTTACCTAAATCCTAGATGGCATCTAGTTATCGATCGAGATGCATGTGCTGTGTTTTGGAAACAAACTTAACAAGGAAGTTTGCTGCGGATTTGTCTTTGCAAATCTTTTTAATTCACTATATCTCTAGCTAAGGTTATGATGAAACATTCTAGTTGCCAATTTGGCGACTAATTTTCAGGATTTGGTCACCAAAGTGAAAAATTTAGTCACATTGGCGCCTGTATTAGGCGCAATTTCATACCATGGTATGCTAGTTTGAATCGCTACTTTGAATTGCTAAGAATCTGCAAGCAAACAGAATTCAGTTTGAAATCTAAAACCTGTGGTTATGAGTTTTTCTAAAGCAGGTCACAAATGTCACCTCAGGAAAGTGACAAGGTTGTCCTAGATGAAACTGTTTTTATAGTTTGCTGTATTAATGAAGTGTGTTGAAAGTAAACAAAATTGTGAATTTTCCAAGTAAGGTGATATTAATCATCACTTTCCTGGCTTTGATGAGCAGAATCTCCTTGAAAGGTCACAAATTAAAGGTTAAGAAGAAGAACTATTTTTGAGATTTGTGAAAGTCCCAGCTCTGTAAAAGAAGGTGGAAGACAGCTTCAAAAATTCACTTAAGAGCAGGGTGACAGTTTCCATGCTAAT